ATTTTTTTTTTTTAAGGCTAGTCAAGTGAAGCAGTGGGAGTAGATTTTTAAAAAAATCTTACCACACTGGCTAGACTCTTCAACAACAATGTTGAATAGAAATGGAGAGCGTGAACATCCCACCATCCCCTCCATGTTCCTGACTTTAGGGGGGAAAGCATTCAGTCTCTCACCATTAATTATTATGTTAGCAGTAGGTTTTTCACAGATGTCTTTAGTCAGGTTGAGGAAATTCCCTTCTATTAGACTTCACTGTGAATCGGTGTTGGATTTGGTCATGCATTTTTCTGTGTCTTATATTAGTTATCTATTATTACGTAACAAATTATCCTCAACTGACCAGCTTAAAACAATAAATATTATCTCACAGTTTTTGTGGGTCAGGAATACAGGCAGCTTCACAGGGTGCCACTGACTCAGAGTTTCTCATAAGACTGCAATCAAGGTATTGGCCATGACTGCAATCATCTCAAAGCTGAGTTGAGTTTAGATCCCTCTCCAAGATCACTTAGATGGTTGTTGGCAGATCGCAGAAGTTCCAATTATAAGCTCACTCCTGGCTTTTGGTAGGTTTGGTCCCTGCTGGCTACTGGCCAGAAACATCAGCTCCTTACCATGTTGGCCTCTCCAAAGAAGTACTAACAGGGCAGCTTGCTTCCCTGAGAGCCAGAGCCCCAAGAGAAAGCAGAACAGGACAGAAGTCTTTTTGTAACCTAATCTCAAAAGTGACATCCAATCTCTTGAAATTCTATTGTTAGAAATGAGTCACTAGGTATAGCTAACTCTGAAAGGGAAAAGATTATATAACGGTGTGAATACCAAGAGGTGGGGATTATTTGAGAGTCATTTTGGAGGCTGCCTATCACACTGAGATGATCATGTGGGTTTTTTGTACGTTATTCCAGAGGTCAGCAAACTGTGGCCCAATGGCCAAATCTTGCCCACTGCCTGTTTTTACATGGCTCACAAACTAAATGATTTTTACATTTTTAAATGGCTGAAAGAAAATAAAAAAGATATTATTTTGTGACATGTGAAAATTATATGAAGTTCTAATCTCAGCATCCAGCAATAAAGTTTTATTGAAACAAAGCCTTGCTTATTTGTTTATCTATTGTCTATAGCTGCTTTTGTAGCCATACCTGATACTGGCAAAGTCGAGTAATTGCAACAGATTGTACGGGCTATGAAATCTAAAATATTTACCTATCTGGCCCTATACAGAACAAGTTTACAGATTCTTGTAACTTTATCAATTATTCTATTATGGCACATTACATTAATTGGTTTTCACATGTTAAACCTAACTTGTATTTCTGAGATAAATCCCACTTGGTTATGATCTAAAATCCTCTTATATGTTCCTTGATTTAGTTAACTAAAATTTTGTTAACTAATTTTTGCATCTTTGTTCCTGAGAGATACTGGTATTTCTCTTCTGATGTCTTGCTATCGGGGTTAATATTGGCCTCACAGAATGACTCAGAAGTGTTTTATCCTTTATTTTCTGAATGAGTTTGAGGATTGGTATTATTTATTTAAATATCTGATGGAATTCACCAGTGAAGCCATCTTTGGGCCTGGGTTTTTTTGGAGGAGACAATTTTAAATTTATTCACTGAATTTACTTGTCTTAGGTCTATTCAGATTGTCTATTTTTTACTGTCAGTCAGTTTAGGTAATTTATGCCTTCCCAGAAATTTATCCACTTCTTCTAAGTTATCTAATTTGTTACCATAAAGTTATTCATGGTACCCAGTTATAATCCTGTTAATCTATCTTCTGGGTAAAGTGTTTAGTCTTCAACCTTCATTCCTGATTTTGGTAATTGGTATTTTCTTTCTTTCTTTTTTCTTAATCAGTCTAGGTTTGTCAACTTTGTTGACTTTCTTAAAAGAACCAGCTTTTGATTTCATTAATTTTATTACTGTTTATCTATTTCCTATTTCACTGATCCACTCTAATATTATTTCCATCCTTCTGCTTACTTTGGGCTTAGTTTGCTCTTCTTTTTCTAATTTCTTAATGTTGAAGGTTACGTTACTGATTTGAGATCTTTCTTTTCTGCTATACCACTGCTTTAGCTGCATCCCATAAAT